CTCTAAATTGGTTGTATTTAATAATTAGTTTCATTGTCAGTGCAATGTTTATAATTAATGCATGACTTCCTTTTTAGGCATTTCATTTATGGATTAGTTTTAGTGATGTAAGGACTTTCTTATTATTTGGGAAATATTTTTAAAAAAATGCGTTATAGATATTAGGTAACACAACAGAACAAAAAAAATGTAGGAATTGTATATGTTTCCTGACTGTGAGTATGAATGTAAATTATGTAATATTTTAGTGAGGAATTATCCTTTTTTTAATTTACAGTTTAAATCAATTGATACATTTGAGTTACAACTAAATTTTATTTAACAGCCAATATTTTGGTCCGGTTTTTACATCAAATACTGTTTCATTATGTCAGGGAAATGTTCAAATGAAATGCCTTTAAAAGTTTTTAATATGTTCAAGACTTAAATTAAATTCCTATTTTATTTTTTTTATTTTATCGAAATATTGGAAATAACTATTCTTCCCAACCGCTGATCCAGTGATTAAAATTTTGGAAAGCTGAAGATTAAGGTATTTTTTTTATTTTAAAGCTTTTTTTTTTCTTTTTTTTGCAAATGCTTTGATATTGTTTAATTATTTAGTAATTTGAAGTTATTAATATTTTCATAACAGTATTCACGGTACCAATTTTACTGCACAGTAAACTTTAACTTATTTTGAGTTTTTTGTTTGTTTCACAATTCAACTTTTAGTCAGTTTTAATCACTGTGTGATAAATCCTTTCAATCTGATAAATGTGCTTCAGGGCAGTTGTAACTCATTTATAGAAACTCTTTGTTTTGAACTGTAAATAGACCCAAATAATAGGATAATCCCTTACTAAGAACATGATTTACTTTCATTCTTCACAATTAAGAGGCATCAAATCCTACAATTTCGTTGGTCGAGAGCACTTTGCTATATTCTAATTTAGTTTTGAATATTACAATGGGAAAGGATAATTTGTTAAGGTCACTCGAAAGTGTGAATATGTTCTAAATCGGTCAGACAATACTTGGTCGTGTTTTATGTAAAGATTAGACAATACTTGGTCATGTTTTATGAAGATTTAAAGCCCAAGGCGTAGCCGAGGGCTTTAAATCTTCATAAAACATGACCAAGTATTGTCTGACCAATTTAGAACATATTCACACTTTCGAGTGACGTTACAAAATTATCCTTTCCCATTGTAATATTCAAAACTAAATAAGAATTCACTTTTTATAATGAAGTGAGTATATAACATAGGTAAGTAATGACCATTACAATGGATGGAATGAGATAGCACTGACATAGTTTGTGAGGACAAAAAGGATAAATTGTTCATACATTTGAGTTTTTCTTCTTCTTCAGGTAAAAATTTAATACTTATATACCTTAAATTTCTTGATTTGTTTAGCACACAATGTTAAATCAATCCGATTTATAAAATTTGAATATTTTTTGATAATTATAAAACTTACTCTACGTATAAATATTTGAATTACGACCTTTCAACATCAGATGCTTACTTTTTATTAATGAATGTACATGTATTGTGGGGTTTTTTTCTCAAAAAAATCCTTTGCCTTATATATCAGCAGTCTGACATTGTTTTCTTGAAAAAAATAATCGACTCGAATGTCCGGTATAAAATTTGTATAAAAGATAATTTTACCTACATCTTTGCCCACATTTTATTTTTTGTTTGTTACATATATGTACCATCAATATAAAGATTTGCAATGTTCAAAATGTTTTTTAAAAATCTTTTCTCTTTCATCTTTAATCAGTAGGCTATTTTCCCAAGGAAAATGCCTCAGGGGATTGTACACTTCGTTAGTGAAGTTATTAAGAGTTCACTTTCATAATTATTCTACAATGAAAAGTCATTCATGTATAGCATTTTATAGTGCATGGAAAGCCATGTACTATGAAAATTAGAAGGGAAAAAACTGACTTTTCATTGGACGAGAAGGGGTGAGTATGTTCTAAGAAGATTTAAAGCCCACGGCTACGCATTGGGCTTTAAATCTTCATAAAACATGACCAAGTATTGTCTAACCTATAATTAATTATAGTTCAATGGTTCGATGTTAAGAAGAAAAGTGTTCACTTCTATGTTTTTAACTGCACACCTACCCTTATTACTGGCATTATCCTTTGAACAATGGATGAAGTGATTCCTATTATCAAATTTGTTTTGGGTGAAAAATTTAAAACTTGGGATACGTTTGAATCGAAACTAAAACAATATCAAGACCCAGATTTTTTGTCAGATATTCGGAATCCTCTAGTTGTATCCATGTAGTGCCAATAAAAATTTTGCCCACTGACACCTACTTTTCTTTTCATAATTCTATTGCATTTAGTTTTCAAAGTCATTTTTGAAAATGTTATAAAATCCGTGTTATTTTTTCATTGTTTTTGAAAGGAAAAAGGTATCAATGTTAAATGTATGAAAAATCTAGAGAGAACCATTTTCCGCCTAATTTTCAATTGATTATATCTCAAAAACTAGAACACGGACCTTTCATTTTTTTCTAATTTTTAAGTTTCATTATTCATATATTCTATCAATCTATAACAGTCTTTTAAAAACCTTGTTATTTTGAAACAGAGGAGCGAACGTCCTCACATGGTTCCAACAAAATATATAACTTCAAAAAGGGAAATTGCAGAGTGGAACTGTATAGTCTGCAAACCCGACGTGTACATTGCTGCATCACTCGTTTTTGATGGCTGCCTAGAGCGGTTTCACCAAAAACGCGTCGGACTGAAACATGCTCCCAAAACAACATACTGGATGGGGAGGGTGGGGTTGGTTTTGGGGGGGGGGGGGGGGGGGGGGGTGGGGGGGGGGGGGGGGGGGGGGGGTAGGACCTTTATCGGGACTCCGGGATCGGGTGTTTTTAAGCTCGGGATTTCGGGATTGATCCTTTCGGGATCCGGGAATTCTTTTTTTTGGATTTCGGGATGTCGGGATTTAAATTTCTTTAAATTCGGGACCTCGGGATTTAAATTTCTTTAAATTCGGGACCTCGGGATTTCATGTTTTTAAGCCCGGGATTTCGGGATCAGGACCCCTCCGAACCCCCCTCCTGGATGTGTAGAAACTGCCACTGTAAATGAAAATTTTAAAAAGTTGTATGCAATATTGTTAAAATTTAAATAAAAGTTTTCAAGTTCTATTTTAATACATATACTAGTCCCAGCATACATTGAAGTGCATTAACGTAACAATAACACAACGTAACCGTAGATGCAAATGTTATTGTTACATTGGTAATTAATCGGTTCCTTACCCAACCCTGCATTTTGGAAATAAGTCTTCAATGTAACAATAACTTTTTTATTATTGTTACATTTCAATGTAACCGTAGCCAGTGCCTAAAAAGTATATATGGGTCATTTTCAAAAAATGTCGAATTTTCAGTACACCCATGCTAATTTTTTCATTTCTAATGGAAATTTCAGCTGTAATTGTTTGAATGAAAGCTTGTAGGATTTATGATTCAGAACATTAATAATAAACACGATTTACATCTATTTTCATAAGATTAAAATGTATTTAAGTCCGATTTTTGGGTAATTTGTTTGCGTACAGTTTCAGAAAAACACATTTCAAATGATTTTTTTCCGATTTTCTGATCGCCTTGATATCTGCAGAAGGGAATTTTTAAGAACGTTACTAATTACTCTAACGAAAAATCGTAGCTTCTTTATCATTATATGTAACATTTTATCTACAAACTTAATTGAATCCGCGTACATGAAGTTCATGTCAATCCTGTTACCGCTACTTAAACCAGCCGTTAAATTATTCTCCCTATGAATATTGAATTAGTCAGTGTTGATTTCAAAAGTGCAAAGTAACCTTTACATTTAACACAGCACGTTTCTTGAACGACAGTGTAGAGAAAAGAAATTTCAAGACATTTAGTGAAAAAAAATAGAGGGTACTTTTTTTCATGTCTATGCTGTTACCAACAATTTTGATTAATTACACCAAAAGTATACTTGTAAAAAGTGCAATAACGTGTTGGAAACCAAATTCACAACAGAAAAACATTATCACCTCACCAAAGGGAGTAGTTATTTCACAACAGCATTCGAAAATGAAGAAATTTGTCTATCCTGTTATGTCTATCCTGTTACTATGGTTGCTATGGTTACAGTAACAGGATAGACAATTGTAGACAGAAACGTCGTTAAAAAGTTTATCATAACATATAGTTGCAAGCAGAATGAAATCTTTCGTTGTTTGAACTCATCTTAAGGTTATAACGTCTTAATCTTCCCAATTTAGCATTGGCAGGTGCAAAACTGATATCGGTAACAGGATAGAACTTTATATAGTGATATATCATTAACGTACGTTCCTGTTACCAATGAAATAAAGACAAAAGTAAACTAACATGTGAAGGATTTACTTGATGTTGGGTTTATTTGAAAGAGAGAAAAAATGCCGATCAATATGAATTGCTATCTTAGACTTGCATTACTGGTGGTAATTTTTACAACCTTTGAAAACCAATTTTTAGAGGCATTTTTCAGTACAACCTGGAAAATTGGCAAATAATCTATTATTTCACAAAATGAATATATATAGAAGTTTATTCTCTTGAAAACCATCTAATTGGCTTCGAAAAAGAAGCTTAAAATTTTATCCAAACCTTTTCTTTATAACCCAAAATTTCTTTTGAAAATGGTAACAGGAGAGACAAAATATTGTACCACCTATCAAAAAATGTTTCAAGATATTCTTGTATGACATTATTAAGATTGCATCTTTTAATATGTTGTTCTATAAGTACTGTTTGTTTTGATTTGCCTATGTAGAGGGTTGTTTGAATAAGTAACTTTTAATAAATTTTTCAATTTCAAAATTCGACATTTTTTGAAAATGACCCATATGTCAATATAATTCATATTCAAAATTGAAATTTATGACGTTCTAGGCCGTTCACGATTGCTTTTTTACAGCAACTTGGTTTGATTATCGCCCTTATCACCATAATATATTTTTTGCCGGACAAAGAAAGTTGAAACTAGACAGTTTTAAAGTAAGAAGATAATGTTAATATCAAATTATTTACCCTACAATCGCACTTCATATAATTATATAAATTAAACTTCTCTTCAGTAGCCCTTCTACATAATTATTAAAGATATAAGTAATACAAGATAAATATATACACTCACTGTTATAAGATTCTTTGAACTCTGAACTTATACGATTAGTTCATCTCACTCTGACTGTTCATTTGACACGTAATTAATCCGTCTTACTTGTTATATTTATTTACCGTGTATATTTTATACTTTAATAAAGAACGTTAATAAAGAATTCAATATTTGTTTTGAAAACATTTACTTTGTTTACAAACTTTCTATGGAACGCCTAAATAACACTCGGATCAATTATAAATTGTCTGCAGTGTAGTGTTATATTTGGTTTTATTAGTATAGCTGGATCTTTCACCAAGCCGTTTTCGCCTTTCGCAATTTTGTGTGACTATTCAGCATACTCCAATCAGAAACAATTGAATAAATTTGCTTTGACCATTTATGAAGAATTAATGACTTGGACAGATAAAACAAACCAATCTTATATATAAACATGTCTAATTTACACTTTTTTACATAATAAGATTATTATTAATGCAGCCTTTTTTACGATTTCAGTCTTGATTTGATTCCAGGCCAGTAATACAAAATTAAAGGGGATAAGAAAGGACAGAAATGGACAACATATTTTACAATGAAAATGCTTCTTCTGCCCTTAACTCCCATGGTCAAGCCACGAATGAAAATACTGCTGATCATGCCACGGATCAAAATACTGCTGATCAGGCCACGGATCAATTAATGCAGGTACACATAAGATCTCCGACTGTAAGAGATGATTATGCTTGGAATGTCTGTGACAAACAGTGGAATAGTTTTACGAATTTAGAGTCTATGACAAATAATTATTTCAAAAGTGATGCATGCTTTACAGAGTTTAGTCAGAGTGAGAACTTTCAGACATACGTGAACACACAAACTGATGATAAACGGCACAATTGTGAGATATGTGGTAAAACATTTAGTATAAGTTTTAAATTAAAAGCACACATGAGAACACACACTGGCGAGAAGCCATTTGATTGTAGTGTATGTGGAAAAAGATTTTCATGTAAAGGGAATTTACCAAGTCACATGAGAACACACACTGGTGAAAAACCTTATAAATGTGATGTATGTTGTAAAAACTTTAGTGTGAAATCAAATTTAAAAGCTCATATGAGAATACACATAGATGATCATGATGATAAACTTCATAATTGTGAGTTTTGTGATAAAGGATTTAGTAAGAATTGGCTCCTAAAGAGACACATGAAAAAACATACTATGCAGGATATTGCTAAATTTTACACTTGCGGTGTATGTGGTCAAGAATTTAATCAGAGTTATAACTTAAAAATACACATGAAAACACACACTGGTGATAAGCCTTATGCATGTGGTATGTGTGGTGGAAAGTTTTTATATAAAGGGGATTTACCAAGACACATGAAAACACATACTGGGGAAAAACCCTATAAATGTGAGGTATGTGGTAAAGGATGTAGTCGGAAAGCACATTTGGATCTACACATGAGCATACACACTGGTGAGAAACCTTATATATGTAATATATGTGGAAAAGGATGTAGTCGGAAAGCATTTTTGAAACAACACATGAGAATACACACGGGTGAAAAACCATATAAATGTGATATTTGTGGACAAGAATTTAGTATGAAACAAAACTTAAAAACACACATGAGAACACACATTGATGAAAACCTTCATAGATGTGAGATTTGTAATAAAGGATTTGTCAAGAGTCTGGACTTACAGAGACACATGAGAACCCATACGGTTGATACACTTCATTATTGCGATATATGTGGTGATGGATTTAGGCGGAAATATAATTTAAAAGAACACATGAGGATACACACTGGTGAAAAACCGCATAAATGTAATATATGTGGTAAAGGATTTGCAAGTTCCGGGGTTTTACCACAACATATGAGAACACACACTGGTGAAAAACCTTATAAATGTGATGTATGTGGTAAAGAATTTGGTTGGAAAAGTAGCTTAAGAGTACACATGAGAAATCAAAATGGTCACACTGATGATAAACCTTATGAATATGATGTATGTAGTTAAAGCTTTAATCGGTTGAGTGACTTACAGATTCACACGAGAACACACACTGATGATAAACCTAATGAATGTGATGCATGTGGTTAAAGTTTTAATCGGTTGAGTGACTTGCAGGTTCACACGAGAACACACACTGATGATAAACCTAATTAATGTGATGCATGTGGTTAAAGCTTTAATCGGTTTAGTGACTTACAGGTTCACACGAGAACACACACTGATGATAAACCTAATGAATGTGATGCATGTGGTTAAAGCTTTAATCGGTTTAGTGACTTACAGGTTCACACGAGAACACACACTGATGATAAACCTAATGAATGTGATGCATGTGGTTAAAGCTTTAATCGGTTTAGTGACTTGCAGGTTCACACGAGAACACAAACTGATGATAAACCTAATGAATGTGATGTATGTGGTTAAAGCTTAGTATGTTATGTTTCTAAGAGACATCTCCTTGTGCATGTGATAATCCTTATCAGTGTGATATACATTTTATGTGGTAAAATGTTTAATACATATCAAAACTCTCTGAAACGTATACTAGTAAGAACACACATTGGTGAGGAATTTATGATATAATTGAGGTTGCAATCTACGTCTGGTTCTTTAAATAAAAACCTGATTGGAAATGGTTGCCTGTTTAATGAATGAATTTAAATCTATAGAAAATCAAAGGATGTGGGGTATCCATCCATGACACAAAATCAGTACATGCACAGCAAAAAACACACAAAAAGCAAAGGAACTGTTCTTCATCTCAAAGTCACAGTGAAGCCTTTAACATGGAGCAAAACAAACTCTCGCACCACTGCAAGTTTAAGACGGCCCCTAGCACTGGCTTGAGCGGAATTCTTTGCAAAAATAATTCGTATAGACTTTGTAAGATGTAACAATACCAAATCGGATCCGGTCAAAAAGAACAAACTGGAACGTAGTATATATTTAAAACAAATTAGTTCCTACGCATATGTGTAGTTATCAAAGCTATTTTGAATACGATAGCAATGATAAAACCATTTAAACAAGTGCGGTTTCACGGCCGTAACTCGGCTAACCGAGAGATTGGTCGGTTAATCTATATTGAGTATGCGGCTATATGGGCGGTTGGTTTGTTAATCGGGTCGGTTATACGTCTGTTATGAATAAAACGCTCAATTTAATGTTAAACTCTGTTAAATATACAGATTTTTGGCATATTATAAGAACCAAATCAAAAAAAAGAAAAGTGTCTGACAAAAGGATATCTATCAAGGAACATTTTCCACCAGTTAAAAACATGTCATAGCCTGCGCAGTTTTCAGTAAAACTAAAAGGCGTCGCGCAAGTATGTGGTATTTATGCTTATACGCATAGCAATGTTTTGGATAAAAAGCGAAATCTTTTTTTTAGATATCATTTTAAGGACACACAATAGTACTTTGGTTCTAAAAAATAAATTGACATCAGTAAATATTTCATAATTTTTATATAACTTGAATAATACCACATTTTAGTGATTATTACGGGAATTAAGTTTGTTAATGGGTTGGACAATTTAAATTGTGTAAGAGTAATTAAGCCACGACAATAGTTTTGCTACCTTTATATTTTCCCATCGAAAAAGTTAAGAATAAGATGTACTTAATGTGTAGAAAAAATGACAATACAGCGCAACTGTATCCTTTGAGCATTTTTATTTTGACTTTCTTTGCATTTTATTGAAGGGTGTGTCACTTCAATATAGCGTGATATGGATTGGTCGCTGGAATATGCATGAATTTATTATTTACGTTACCGATCAGCCTTATTTTGTGTGTCTGTTCAAAGTCTGCAACATCTATGAATCTGCATAGACACATGAGAACACACTGGTGACAAACCTTACAAATGTGAGGTATGTAGCAAAGAGTACCGTCGAAAGTGAGATTTACATCGACACATGAGAACATACTGAAAAACCTTACAAATGTGAGGTATGTAGCAAAGAGTACCGTCGAAAATGAGATTTACATCGACACACGAGACCATACTGAAAAACATCACAAAATTAATGTAAGGTATGTAGTAAAAAGTACCGTCGAAAATAAAATCTACATCGACACATGAAAACACACTCAGTCTGGTGAAATCCTTACAAACGTGAGAAATGTAGTAAAGAGAACCGTCGAAAATAAGATTTACATAGACATATGAGAACACACTGGTGAAAAACCTTACAAATGTGAGATAGGTAGTAAAAAGTATCGTCGAAAATGAGATTTACATAGACATGATAGACACATGAGAACACATACTGGTGAAAAACCTTACAAATGTGAGGTATGTACCGGTATACGTAGCAAAGAGTGCCGTCGAAAATAAAATTACATCGACACATGAGAACACACTGGTGACAAACCTTACAAATTTGTGGTATGTAGCAAAGACTTCCGTCGAAAATAAACTTACATAAGACACATGAGTACACACTGGTGACAAACCTTACAAATGTGAGGTATGTAGTAAAGAGTTCCGGCGAAAATAGAATTACATAGACACATCAGAACCCACTGGCGAATACCATACAAATGTGAGGTAGGTAGTAAAAAATACCATCGAGAATAAAATTACATAGACACATGAGAACACGCTGGTGAGAAACCTTACAAATGTGAGGTATGTAGCAAAGGGTACCGTCGAAAATGAAATTACATCGACACATGAGAACACACTGGTGAAATCCTTACAAACGTGAGGAGTGTAGTAAAGAGTGCCGTCGAAAATGAGATTTGCATAGATACATGAGAACACATAGCACCAGCTGACGATTATTAAATTTTTTGTAGTATAAAAGTGTTATGAGTCTAAAAATATAATTTCTTGTATGCATAATTCTTATTATTATGTTCACTAGCTTCGTACGTTTGTAAATGAAATAAAAACCAATGCATGTTAGTACGTTAATAATGAAAGAAAGCCATTAAGTACGTTAATAAACGAAACTATACCATTGAGCGAGAAAATACAGTTGTGCTAAGATTGCATATCAAACACTGAGGTTCCTCTGGAAAAGGGGGGGGGGGGGGGGGGTAGGGATAGGGGTCTTTGTTTGTCTGTTGTAAACTCATAGACCAATTGTCTTTCTTCTATATTTTTTGGGGTCCATAAATCTATATTAAAACACCCCATTGTTCTCTATTCTTTATATTTTTTGTCTGTTATGTCTGGTTTTTTTTTCTTAATTGCTGGCCCATTACGTATTCTTTGTCTCATCCAGAACTTTTTACTGAAACCGAAACAGTACAAAATTCTGGTAAAGCATTAAAGAAAAAGATATGAAACTGTGCGCACAGTTTTTTTATTTTTGTCGAGCCTGCGACTTCTGTCGCAGAAAGCTCGACATAGGGATATTGATCCGACGGCGTTAGCTAACTACTTAAAAGCTTTATATCTTAGAAGGTGGAAGACCTGGATGCTTCATACTTTGTTTATAGATGCCTTATGTTATGAAGTTTCCGTCTGTCATGTCCATTGTCCTTGACCTCATTTTCATGGTTCAATGACTACTTGAAAAAAAATTAAGATTTTTTGTAATGTTAATTTCTCTCTTATTATGAGTAATAGGATAACCATATTTAGTATGTGCGTACCTTGCAAGGTCCCCATGCCCGTCAGACAGTTTTCATCTGACCTCGACCTCATTTCATGGATCAGTGAACAAGTTTTCGTGGTCAAGTCCATATATCAGATACTATAAGCAATAGGTCTTCTATATTTGGTGTATGGAATGATTGTAAATTGTACATGTCCAACTGACAGGTGTCATCTGACCTTGACCTCATTTTCATGGTTCAGTGGTTAAAGCTAATTGTTTTTGCTTTTGGCCTTTTTTTTCTAATACTATATGTATTTGGTGTATTTCAGTCTGGCAGGTTTTATTTGACCTTGACCTCATTTTCACGGTTCATTTTTCAGTGTTAAGTTTTTGTGTTTTGGTCTGTTTTTCTTAAACTATAACCAATAGGTCAACTAGATTTGTTTGTATGGAATGATTGTAAGGTGTATATGTCTGTCTGGCAGGTATCATCTGACCTTGACCTCATTTTCATGGTTCATTGGTCAATGTTAAGTTTTCATGGTTAAGTTTGTTTCTTAGATACTATAAGAAATAGGTCAACTATATTTAATGCATAGATTGATTGTAAGGTGTACATGTCTGTCTGGCATGGTTCATCTGACCTTGACCTCATTTTCATGGTTCATTGGTCAATGTTAAGTTTTCCTGTTTAAGTCTGTTTCTTAGAAACTATAAGCAATAGGTCAACTTTATTTGGTGTATTGAATGATTGTAAGGTGTACATGTATTTCCGGTTTGGTTTATCTGACCTTGACCTCATTTTCTTGGATCATGTTAAGTTTATGTGATACTTAAAGTAAAGCTTTATATTTAGGACTATCAACATAAAATCAATGGCCAGGAAAGAAGGCGAGACGTTTCAGCGTGTGCACTCTTATTTAAGGTACAATTAAGAACACAATTTGAAAAGCCAGGTGTCAGAAGCTTGTAGTTAATAGTTAATAAGACGTACAGAATCCAACAACAAAAAATTTAAATGACCAAAACGGCATATAAATTCAGCTCAAATATGGTCGATAATCATAATTATTATTAATCATCGAATTCATTGAACAAAATAAAATCCAGCTTCCATTTGATACCAAAAGTACCAAAATATTCTACACATTTTTAAAGTTACATCCCTGCGTATGTATTATTCTGTCTTAAATATGTACTACTTTCTGGTATATGTGCTTTCTGACCGGACCCGAATTAGCGGTGTTACACCTACATGTAGAAAGCCAATTCAATCGGCAAACCTCGGCAAATTCCGGAATCCTGCCAAAGATAGCCGTTTAAGAATCGTTATTCACTGATGTGTCGAATTTTATGGTTTAGCGGTGGAAAAAATAGACTGCAAAAAATCGAAACAATTATACCGAACGAATACAGAAAACAGTGATTCACATCGTGATATAAGTAAAGGAAAAGTTGTGGTGCAGTTTTTAGGTCTTTTTAACCATTTATTTCCGATACTTTTATGCATCTTTTGCATTGCAAACCTTTGCATGTCTGATGAAGATAAAATATAATGGTTAAAAGCAGGCGAGACATTTCAGCGTGTGCACTCTTATTTTTACATAAAAGGACAAGAACTATTTTGACATATTGAGCATATATATTTATTGAATAAGATATCCTGTGAAAAAGCTCCAATGCCCGTGCATCTGTTCTGGTCCGAAGGTAGGATGATGACGTACTCTAACTTTATCTCCAGCGTTAAGATATAGTACTGCAATCATTGAGCCAGCATCTGCATTGCTGTCTTCAGCATGTCCTAATTGTACTTCAACCTCATTCTTCATCAGCTGAACACGCAGGTAGGTAGAATGTTGCTTTAGAAATGTACACGAAAAGAAATAAAGTCCGGCGTAAGGCGCTTTGAATAGTCCTGTGTGTGGGTTATAAGCTTTACCAATGTTTGTTATCTCAATGCCAAAAATGACAGTCTGTCCACCATGAAGCTTAACACTTTTTGCCAAACGTGCATGAAACGCAACTTGTGTTACATGAGTTAGTCCATTTTTATCTGAAAAATAAAAAAAATACCTC